GGGAATGATGGAATCAAGCTTCTTCTCCTTGCTTGCACCTTCTCCTTGGGTTGAATGGATCTTTAATGAATCTTTCCCAAGGCGTTTCTCCCTCTAAAGCACTCCAAAACCCTGATTTTCTCACTCTAAGGCGGCTCTCTTTTGAAAAGTGCAACAAGAGGGGTATTTATAAAAAGCTGATGGTTGTCAAGGCCTCTAGGGCGTGATCAGCTGGAACGTCTCCTAATCGACCAAAATGACACGTTTTATCCCGTCCTTAAGTTCCGAGATCGCAGCCTCCTTCACGAGATCACGACCGCGATCTTTTGTGTCCAGAGCGTGATCTTTATCGCTTCGAAAACGCACCATGACCGCGATCCGGGTGTGGAAATCTCTGCCTTCTTTTTGGTCTCCTGCTGAAGATCGTGGCAATTGATCACGACCACGATCACAGGTTGCGATAATCATCACGGCCTGGTCAAGGGGAGTGACCAGTGCTTTTTCTCCCCTTTTTGCTCCTATGCTTCCCAATCGTGCCCGAATGAACTCCAATCGATTCCTGATCAATCTCAAATGAATATAAGACAATTTCATTACAAACACTTGGAAAAGCATAAAGTACCACAATTTGGGGTCGGTTCCACTATGTAAACCTTCATATCAAGAATATCTGTGCCAAAATGCATGTTTTGCAAATCGGAAAGGAATTTGGCATAAATAACTCGATATGTGGCCTAGACACGGTGATTTAGCATGCAAATTCCTTGAGAATAGAGGCTAGATAACACCTATTTTAGGTGTTATCAAACTCCCCCACAGTTAGGCGTTTGCTTGTCCCCAAGCAAACCTACTCAAACCAATGCAACTTAATGGACAAATCAATAGGAGATGCACTCTAGTTCTTTATTGCATAAAGAAGAGTAAACGGAGACGAGAAAATTTTACTATCATCTGAATGTGCAAGCACAGACTCTCGGATGAGGACCATACTTACTACCTTTGGCCAAACATTCAAGGTGTGCTCCGCGGGATTCTCAAACAACAAATAAGCACATGAACTCTCAAAGTGCTCTCTATTCTCTCTTTAGATTTAGGAGTTGTCGTTTATTGGTCCTCCTTTTTCGACATTGAAGCGCATTGCACCTAGCTTTTACAATTTTTTTGCATCAAGCATCTCTCCCTCATGACCAAGAGTGGATGAATCATAGCCCTCCCTTTCGAATTCACATGTGGGGAAGTTGAAGGGCGGATTCATCTTAGCCCGAGCACTAGTTCCCAACCTGCACTGTACATTGGGTTGCCACATATTTTGGGTACGAACGAGAGTTATGAGGTCTCATGAATCGCTAAAAGGTACTTTGGAGCTTGGCGTATGATTCTGTGAGGAGGAAAGATGCTTTGGGGATGGTAAGTAGCAGGGGCGGAGGTAGCATGTAAATAGGGTGTCCCATGGCACACCCTTGGATTGGGACTAGAACATCAAGAAATAGGGGTATTAGTTTATTCTATAACTAGGATTTAAACATGGAACCCCCTTATTATCAGCTTTGGCATCTTACATTAAACTACAATTACATATGTGATACACCAATACGTTTTATTGTATATGTATAATTATTTTATGTTTACAAATAATAAGTAAATTAAAAAAACTCATAATCGGAACGTTAGCCCTAACAAGCAAGACTTCTCCCACTCCCACCTTTCATCTGCCTTCGTTCTTCTTTCCCTTTCTTTTCTTTCTTTTCTAAATCGCACAAACTTGCAAAAGCTTTGAGTTCACTAGACTAACAAAGAGAATCACGCACACATGTTCTTCCTAAAATAGAAAATATTATCAACTCACAAAAGAGGAAGAAGATAGTAAAATCCCTCATACACTGGTACTCTAATCATGCATATATCCCCTAGCGTGCACACCACATCAATTATCTATCCATTCAAAGCATACAGAGTAGGGAGAATGCAAAAGGGGCTAGCTTGGAGCCCTTAAATTTGAAAATTTTTGGGCATACATACAAGGCTCTAAGTGGTTGAAACATGCTAAATCATCGTCCACAATCAATCTAAAAGCACACAATCTATCGTGATCAAGCTTTCAAATATTCACGAGGTAAGAGAGTATAATCAATGACACCATTCCACACAAACATTCATACATACCCCCCCACCCCCCACTCCACACACACACTTAAGGGACACATTGTCCTCAATGTGAGAAAGTTAAAAGGATAGGGGAACGAAGTTACCAAAAGGCTTTGTCGAGGTGATTGTGGGATAGAAGGTTAGGGTGGGTGGTTTGATCTCCTCCCAAAGTTGAGAAATCGCCTTTTGGACTAGGTCTCTCGACCTTTAGGTGACACTTTTAGTTGTTGTTGGTGTTCTTGCTCATGGTGTAGTGGTGCTTGAGGCTTAAATCGTTGTGTGGAGGTTCAAGTGGTCAAGTCTCTCCATTGATTGGAAGGATTTAGATTGTTCCACTTCCTGCGGAGGTGCGTTGGAACTCTCTCCTCTTCAAAGGATTAACCCTTAGAAAGGTTCCTACACTCACAAGAACGATTCATACCCATCCATGGAGAACACATTTCATCAATAATCAAAGAATGTATTGAAGACATGACATCATCCCTAGGATCCAACTCATATATCCCCACACTTGATGGTTACTATGTAAAACAAGGGCGCAAAATGGAAAAACAATGTCGAAATAGGTAGCTAACAAACTTGATTGATTGGTTCAATTGACAACATGTCAATCTAGGGGTTTTAATGTCATGGCCAAAGGAAATAAGCAACCTAAACGACTAAGGTAGGGGTATGGATCGATTGCTCAAAAATCATATCAAAGTGATAAGCTTTAGTGAGCAAAGGGAACATACACCTTATAACAATAGATCAAGATTCTAAGCTACCCCTCAAACATGCTTCTAGGGGTCTAATATAAGTATTAAAGTTCATTTGGCATGCATCAAAAAATTACAAGCACAATTATGTGGTTTGGACATTTCATCGAGCACTAGGTGGGCAAAAATTAAATCAAATGTAACCATACAATTCATACACACCAATGCCTCCGGACCACATACCTTCATTCATACGCATGCAACACACAACAATATGTCATCATTTCATCATTTGCTCTTCACCTTAGCCCATTAGAACTCATTCTTAACTAAGGCATGGTCGTTTACTATTACCTACACTACAAACTAACCTAAAAACAAAATTAAAAAAATGCAAATACTTTATTTAAAGATAAGGAATATAAAATGCAAACCGATGTTGGGGTACCTCCCAATTGGCGTTTCTTTTAGGTCATTTCACCGGAGCGTTGTATTCAAGTACTCAGTCTAGATCAAGACCTTGAACTTGAGATTGTCGTCGGTGAGGTGGTGTCTCAATTCCCGAGCTTTGGATGCTTCAAACAATGTGAATGACCCTTGGACTTGGTAAGAATTGTGTCTCCACCCACAAGACTTCTTCTTTTTTTCTTCTTTCTTCTCTTTGCCACATACCATGTAATGCAATCTTGATTTACCATCCTTGAATCCACCAAAAGGGATTTTTTATGTTGTGGCCTTGTCATGGCAATGAGAATCCACAAATGGATCTTTCTCTATAAGTGTATTAAGATCAAGTGGAAAGCTTGAGGAGTACGCGTAACTCATAGAAGCTTCATCCACTTCAACCTTGTCCATTGGTTGGACTCCAAATGCGTCTTCAGCCTCCTCTCTTTCTTGATCATTCATTTCTTCCTCACATTGAATATCAAGCTTGTTCTCTTCCTTAAGTTCGTCTTCCACCACATCAAGGCTCTCTTGTAAATTTGCTCTTTTTTTATCGGGAGCTATGATGTGTCTCCAAGCAATTTCCTCACTAGATTGATCTTAAATGTCCTCTTGTTCGCTCACCATGGAGACTTATTCCTCACTTTCCTCTTCATCTTTATCGTCCAAGAGGCATACTTGTTTGGGTCTCGGATGAATTTGTTCGAGCTCATTTTGCGTGGCTTCCCACCTCTTGTCCAATTCTCGTTGTTCATTAAGGAAATTTTGAAAGGAAGGGTTGGATATCCCTATAGTCTCCACCTTTTCCTCTTAGATCTTCTTCTATTCTTTGACGGGTAAGGGTCGATTGTGAGCAAGTTGTGCACATACTTGCCCAACAACCTCTCCTAGTCACTCCATTTTCCGGAGGGTCTCCTCTGATGCCCTTAGAAGAGATAAGTCAATATGGGTGGTTGTCGAAGATTCCACATTGGAGATCACTTCGGTATTTTGGATGAATTGTTCCACCAAAAGCTCCAATCGGCTTTTGGGCTCCGATTGTGCAAGGAAGGTTTCGTGATATGATTACGATGCTTGATAATCGGGAAAACCTTATTGATAATAATAGAAAGGGGTTGGTTCTTCACATTCGGATCCTTGGCTAGAACCACTACTAGAAGCTTCAAGATAACACCAATTCGGCGGTTGGTGATCTCCCCACTTCTCATTCCAACCATAGGATCCATAGCTATACCTAAACACTATCTATATTCACCAAACAAAAACAACCTATTGAAACACAAGTGTAAAAAAAAGAGAGAAAAAAGTGAACAAACACTTAACACAAAATAACTCCAGGGAACATAACAAAATAAAGAAGAATACGAGAAAGAATATATGACATTACAAACACAAAAATGCAACAAAAATTCGATGTTAGATAAACACAAAAACACAACGCCAAACTTGGCACACAACAAAATATTATCTAGTAGTTCTCAGCTTTTCCTAATACCCTAAGAGCTCCCCGGCAAAGACGCCAAAAACTTGATTGTGCTCCGGTGCGCGATATAGTTTTAAATTTATAAAATCAAAGCACACTCTCTATTCAATCCTAACTAAGCCAAGTATAACCTAGCCAGGGTTGTAGTAAAGTGGTTTGGTCGTATGCCAAGGGATCCCTAAATGTATTATTACTTCGATCTACAACTTCACTTGCCTCTATGGGAGGCTCGCTCCGGGCAGGTTCGGATCACTTACAATACACAGCTCTACGAAGGAAGGGGTTGGGTTAGGAACGTTTTCAATATTATTTTTTCCCGTATTTGTTCTATGAGAAATGCGAGTCTGTTTTGTCCACTTTCTCCATCCCCCTCTATCAAAATGATAAAAAAGCAAGGCGAGCTTGCTTTCTTATTCCCGTGTTCGATCTCTTACATCTCTGCCTCGCTCCTTGTCACCTATGTTGAAGAAAGGTTTGGAACCCTGTAGAGAATGAAGAGGGGCCAAGGAACGAAGTTGCTCGCATTTTAATTAGAACAAGAAGGAGAGGAACGAATATACTCGAACTTTGTGAGAGGGGGGAATGAACTCTCAACAGTGCTTCTTGAGGCTCCACTCTCCCCCCTGAATAAGTAAGGCCTCCTTAGCCTGGGCGAAGATGGGGATAAGGAATAAGGATTGAAGCCCTTTAGCTCTGCCAGGCACTGGGCAGGGGTTAGCTCTCTAAATGTGTAGAGGGGTGTTTGACTAAATTAACCTACTCCTAAGGTAATATAAACAACCAACCAAGTGGTTGGGAGGATGCTTAGAGATAAGATGGTTTCCTAGGGTCGAATCCACCTAGCTAAGGTTGTAAAGTACAGTTAATCGAATGTGGTGAGTGAACTCTTTTCCGTGGGCCTTCATCGTTATCCACACGCCTCCGGGTACGCCTCCCCTAAACCATTGTTCCAGTCACCTCGATCTAGGCTATTGTATATGGGGCATTAAGTATATGGCTCATTTCAATTGACACTATCCATCGTTCACACCAATGTTTTATCCCAGGTTTCACCTAGGAAAGCCACCTATAGCAAGGGTACGGTTTCATAGACCACTATAGGACCCCATTCACAGATCTAACCTAAACTCGCTAGATGGCGCATACCCGTCTAACACTAGAATTCCATACCCAGCGTGGTAGGTTAAAGCAGGCTAAAATCGAAGATTGGGGACAGTTGCCCAAGCGTCATCATTTAGGAAAGAGTGACATTAAAATCAACTAGGCAAACACGTTCATTCATTCATAACCCAAACATTCACAACCTACAACTAGGGTTCATCTACCCTAAACAACCACTAGAGATTCAGGTCATTAGAGAGAAGAAGAAAATACAAACTAGAAGAGGAGAATGATGGAATGAAGCTTCTTCTCCATGCTGCTTGCACATTCTCCTTGCTCGTTGGGTTGAATGGATCTTCAATGAAGCTCTCCCAAGGTATTTATCTCTCTAAAGCACTCCAAAACCCTAATTTTCTCACTCCAAGGCAGCTCTCTTTTGAAAAGTGCTGCAAGTGAGGTATTTATAGAAAGCTAATGGCGGTCAAGGCCTCCAAGTTGTGACCAGGGCGTGACAAGCTGGAACATCTCCGAATCTCCCGAAACGATGCGTTTGTCCCTGTCTTTAAGTTTCGAGATCGCAGCCTCCTTCACGAGATCACGACCGAGATCATTTGTGTCCCGGGCGTGATCTTTATCGCGCAAAAAATGCACCATGACTGCGATCCTGGTGAGGAAACTTTCTACCTTCTTCTTGGTCGCCTGTTGGATATCGTGGCCACTGTTCGCGGCCACGATCACAGGCCGCGATCATCATCATGGCCTGGTCAAGGGCAGTGACCTGTGCCCGTGACCAATGCTTTTTCTCCCCTTTTTGCTCCTATGCTTCCCAATCACGCTCGGATGAACTCCAATCGATTCACGATCAATCCCGAATGAATATAAGACCTGGAATTTCATAAAAAAAACACTTGAGAAAGCATAAAATACCACAAATGTGGGTCGTTTCCCATTTGAAAACCTTCGTATCAAGAATACCTACGACAAAATGCATGTTTTGCCAATAGGAACGAAAATGGGCATAAATAACTCGATATGTGGCCTAGACACGGTGATTTAGCATGAAAAAGCCTTGAGAATAGAGGCTAGATAACACCTATTTTAGTTGTTATTAGACTCCAACATAACATAATACACCACTCAAGTGATAGCCTTAGAAGGTGTTTCTACCAATTTTAGACAATTCGCTTAATCAATACTGAATGGAGTTAAACTCGCCCATATATAGGATGTACAACGATTTGATCCGTATCAAACTAGATCAAACCAACATTTGGACAAGAACATACCGAACCAAACATAATGTTATTCGGTTTTTGGTCCCATAGATTTTATAATTATTGAAAAAAATATATTGAAGTGGCATTTGGACCAGATCAAAGGAAATGCAAAGTTGGTGCTTGGTTCAAATTGGACCGCATTTTTCATGAGTTTGCTACGATTCGAACCAAACACCCCACATATATGTAAGTATTTTATGATGTACACAAATAATTGTGACAGAAAATAAATTATTCGAACATGTTACTTTTGCTTTGGCCCATATGTTTCAGTTAGATCTGCGAACTGAATTAGCACCCAACAGCCACCCAGGAGGAAATTGATTCCCTTCTAAAAGCATGAAAACCTTCTGATGTTAACCTATAACAAATTCAATTCAATTCCCTTAACTTTGAAATTTATTCATGACAAAACAAGAAGCTAGATAGTAGGCAACACCGACCATACTCTCTTAATACGTTGTGTTTCCTAATTTTTGTTCTATCAAAAGACTCTGCTACAGAACACATCTACATGGAATGGGATAGGGTGGTTATTTGTTTACTTGTAATCACGTTGGGAACCTTTTTATCTACCATTTAATTTCCTATTTTTCCTTCTTTTTTAATCTTACAGTAAATATTCTTTTAGGGTAATTTTGGAAATGAAAAAGTGACCACATCCGATTATTCTATATAATCTATCTAAACCATAGTTCTACCCTCCCTCCAGCCAAACCTGCCGCAGCCGCAAGCTCCCATCTACGTCGAGAGGAAGGATTATATTGTCCAGCTCCGCTAATCGCCTCCACCACTCCCGTCGCACTAATCCCGCCAGCCGCCTACACCAGCCCTGACGAGGATGACTCCGTGCAGGCGACGACGACTCTGTGCAGCCCACGACACCATTGCCTTTCTCTCTGGGTCGGGCAGTCAGTGATTGTTTGTTTCTCGGTTGGTAAATCGACGAGGAGTTCGATGACTCCCTATCATTTCCTGGTTCCTCCTACTCTGATTGAACATGGCGCACCGGCGAGGTTGATTTCACCTCCTCCGGATCTTGTCGGCGAGCAACTGGTTAAGGCTCCACAGTGCAATTGGTGAAGCCTCCAATCGTATACCACCTTGGTGAGATTTGTATGCATTAGTAGTGATTTATTGTTTTGGAAGTTGTCTTCTCACATGTGTAGTATGGCGTGGAATGGTAGTGTTCATTAGTATGCTTGCAATGGAAGTGTTCTAGTTTTATGCATGCTAGTGGTTGGACTTTTTGTGAGTTTATTGCGCACTGATATGTTTCTTATTGTAGAGCCGCGTCTTCTCTTGCATTGGTATTGGTACATCCCTTATATAACAGTAGTATCTTCCATTGATTCCAATCTTGCTTCAATGAGTAATGTGTTTTTTGTTACCATATCTCAATTTTAGGTTTGTCGAGAACCAAGAACTCCAATCGTGGAGGGTCAAGAAGCAAGAATCTTGTAAACTATATCAATCGTTAGTTGCAGGTCGGAGATGGTCACTTACACACATGACCTAAATTAATACCAAACTAATCAGACACAACAATACGTTGCACAATAAGGAACAATTAATATCAATTCAATAATGATCATCATGATACCAATACCAATCCAATGAATACCACCACAATTAATCCAACTTTAAATTTATACTAATACAATCCGTACATATTTAAGATCACTATCAGCACAACCATACAAAATGAGTAACACTACGAATCCAAACCTCACAGAACCCTACACGATGGTTTAATTGCTATAATAATCACTTTCTGTAATTATCTCTCTAATTATCACATAATTAATATATTAGTTATACGAGGATTCAAACCATGGTCATTTTCTATTTGTTTCTCATAATAATCTATTTGTTTCTCATTTATTCCTAAAAAAATAAAGACATACGAGGATTCAAACCATGGTCATTTTCAACAATGACAATCATCTTAACCAATCAAACTACATAGATTAGTTGTATCATTTCAAATACACAACATACATAAAGCTAAAATTCAAAAATCACAGAACTTTCAATGGTTAGCTAAGGTCACTGAATCTTTCTTAGATACTAATTGGTGTTTTGATATTCAATTTTCATAATTAATTATTTTAATTATATTTTATTACTTAATTTAAATTTCTATTTATCTTATAAATAGAGGAACTTTAAAATTATAGACCAAATATCATTGGTTCAATATTACATATCGAATTGCAATATCGAATTTGTATAAGCAATATTGAACTCTTAAATTAGTATTAGTTTATGGAACTACTATGAGGCAATCATATTTATATCTCTCTACAAACTATATGGGGACAGGTTCTTTGAACTTTTTAGCTCAGCTAACCAATAAGTTTTAAACATCTTCATAATCCGTCAGGCATGTTTGGATCTAACAATCATTAGACAAGTTTGAGTTTAATAGGTTGGTTTATTTCATCTTTTTTTATGTATTAAAATAAATTTGTACAGCAAAGACTTGTCTACATATACACTCTACACAATATATACTACTCGCATGATAAAATTGTCATCTCATTTCAAATTACTACAACAAGAGCAAAAGTATGAATGACATTTTTATTTTTGTCATTATTTATCTTTATTTTGTATAGAAAATAGAAAAGTATTGGGATTTGAACTAATGTATCTTCAAACACAGACAAGAGTCATAACCATGATAGTCCATTTGAGTTTGACTCTGTTGGTCGAACCAATTGTACCTAAACATGAGTATCTCAGCGGGTGCCGAAGGCCCAGTTGGTTGTCTACTAGGGCTCGGCCAAACCCATGAAAACCCAATCAAATCGAGAAATCCAACCGATTTAACAAACTGATTTTTGAGCACCGGGCCACTTCAAAACGAAGTTGTTTCAACAATTTGTATACGTAGCTACGCTGTCATATCATCCTTTTACTTATCAGAAAACCCTACAACATGGAACATCACAGACCATGTTCGACTATCCCTTCGTCCTTCTTCTTGCTTTAGATTCGAGAGCCTATAAAGACCAAACCATCTCAAAAGCCATCATAATCCCGCAATAATAAAATTTCATTTTTCTCCAGCTGCACAGTCATAGAGCCAGTCGACCTCATCTAATACAAATAAGAAGCAAAAATTAATAGAGGAACATGCATTTGAGTTGAAACTTTGTGTGACTAACATAGGCCAAATTCCTCATTTTAATTATTGTTTAATACTTAATTTAAATTCCTATATATCTTATAAATAGAGGATAACTTTAAAATCACGGCCCAAATATCATTCGTTCGAATATTCCATATCGAATTGCATCATTAAATATGTAGAAGTGATGTATAATTCTTAAATTAATACTAATTTGTATACCTACTATGAAACAATCGTATTCGTATCTTTGTTTAATCTATATGAGACTGGTTATTTGAACATTTTAGTTCGGCTAACCGTCAAATTTTAAACATCTTCCTATTCTGACATGATTGCATCGAACAATCATTAGGTGTTTAACAATTTGGTTCATTTCACCTTCTTTTAATGTGCTAATGGATTGTAGGAAATGACATGTCTTTACATACACTCTACACAATATGTAATACTGAATGAGAAAATTTATATCTTATTTCAAATTTACTACAACGAGACCAAAAGTAGGAATGCTATTTTTACTTCATAATTCTTTTACATAAATTACCAACTTCCAAAATCCAGAAATTGTAGCTCAAAATAAAAATCAGAGCATCGAAAATCATATTTCATAAATGTTATTTCATATATCACTTATTTGAGAGATTTTTCTCTCTTTAAACAAAGTAAAATGAAACAAGTTATAGCCAAATCAACAATTTGCCTCAAAGACAGTGACCCGCTTGTTTGTTGGAGAAAGGAATACATGCGCTGGCGTCGAAGATCTGGAGAGAAAAAATAAAATGGATACATGCGACACGAGATCTATAAAGTTGTTGAAGATTTGGATGAACGGTAAAAAAAGCTTCCTACTTCCGATGATTCACCACGAGTTCGTGAATGGTACCGTCAACTTAGGAAACAAAGAATCGAAGGGTGGATAAACCATGCATTTATTTCTCCTTTTCTTTTGAATAAAATTAAACTAAAAACTTCAATAAAAAAACTAAAATAATATCTTAAAATGCATGCATTTAAACAATATATCAATTTATAATGCACGTTTGTATAGAATGCGCTCATTCTAACAATCGCAAATACCAATTACCTCCTAATAACTTAAAAATTAGGCGTTATGACTTTTTTTTTTTTTTTTACGAGCCTCTACCTTGGTATTGGAGCGAGTGAGCATCTAATGTTAGGCGTCAGGCACTACGTCTACTCGTTGGTTTTGGCCCAAAACTTTTGGACTTACTTACCAACTTGGTCTTAATAAGTGAGTGTGAGATGATTAACTGGCTATCACTAACCCTATCATATCATGATTAATCAACAAGGCCTCTTGTCATTTTCAATTTGCATCTTCGCAGGAAAACAAACTAGCTAGCTAGCTAGCAATAGGATGCATAATTTTACATATATATTATTTACGTTAAAGCGAATGACCTTATCTTCCCCTTTTCTCTAATACTTCAAATATTGGACGCAAAGTATAATTCGCTATCAAATACATCACAACGCATAACCCATTACAAAATTAATATTATCTTTGTCCCTATTCCATTCCAACCAGTAGCACTCAAGAGTCGAGAGAGCACATCCTCCTCTCCTCTTAACCACACAGAAATTATTTATCAGTAAAAAATGGGCCTAAGCCCAGATATATAAACGAGTCTAGTCCACCAAAATGAGATGACGTTAATATTCTTATATATTTAAACAGCAATTACAATTGTGTCAGTTATTATTTTATTTTTTTACAAAGCTATCAAACGTAAAATTTGTTGTTTTATGTGTTTTGGTCTGATTCTTCGTGATTAAGCTAAAACCTAATCTTTTTTCTGCCCTCTTTTTCTCCTCCTCCTGCCCCCACAAATTCTATCACCAAACAAAAAAATAAATAAATAACAATTTACATAAAGCAGAGAGGAAAAGAAAATAAAGGCAAACTGAAAAGAGAGATCCCCACCCACCATATATCCCATATTATTTTGACACCTTACTCACAACAACAGTATTACACTATACAGTGCTTAACTAGAAAAATCTTTTTTCCCAACCAATTGGACCATACTGCCCTTCACTTTCCAACCCCAGCTCCACTTATAAATACCCAAACCCAACACTTCATCCTTCCCTTTTCCCCTCCTTCCTTCCCTCCGGTTCACTCCCGAAAAAAAACCGGGTTTTCTCTCCCTTAATCATTTCGGTTTTGCTAGCTTTCCTTATCTGGCAATGTATGCAAGCGAGTTGTTGGATATCCCGGTTCACACGGTCGAACCGGGGTTCACCGCCCACGAGCTGCAGGAGCTCCTGTCCTTCTTCGATCACCAACCCATCATGACGACGACCACCACCACCACGGGCAGCCCGAACTCGAACTCCGGCTCGGAGGGGTCGAACCGGTCGGTCTACAACGTGGACGAGAGGAAGCGGAGGCGGATGGTGTCGAACCGGGAGTCGGCCCGGCGGTCGAGGTGGAGGAAGAAGAGGCATTTGGAGAATCTGACCGAGCAGGCGAACCGGTTGAGCCTGGAGAAGGAGGAGCTGAGGTACGCTTTGGGTTCGACCCTGAGCCAGTGCAACGTGGTCTGGAAGGAGAACCAGCGGCTGCGAACCGAGTCGGTCGCTCTCCGCGGGCGGCTCACCTATTTGTGCCGCACGTTGGCCGCCATGCACGGCCATGCAGTGAATTATAACGGCGCCCTAAATCATTCGGACCATTCATAAATCGTAAACCCGACCCGTTATAAAAAGCAACAATTTTTTTGACCAAATAATTGGAGCTCCATAGCTGAACTGATGATCAACAGAAGCAAAGCCAAGCGAAGCGAAGCGCTCTCTCTCTATATATATACATTACATATATAATCACTCTCTCTCTGTCTCTAGGATGGCGGATTTTGACAAGAGCCCACGTTGTTATAGCATGTAAAGTTAAAGGAGTCGTCAGCTTTTTTGTTTTTTCATTTTATTTTTATAATTATGGGGTCATCTTTTTTTCCTCAAAACCTTCTTTCCATCTACTTTTCTTTTCTTTTGCTTTGCTTTCTAGCTTTTTTTTTTAATTTTAGTTATTATAATTTGTGGTTATCACTTATCAGGAGAGGAGCTAAAACAGTGGTCAGTTGTAAGTTGATTAGTCGTAAGTGCGATTGATCGTGCATGAGATGAGATGAGATTCCTTTGTAAATATTATTATTATGATATAGTTTATTGATATTTGGAGGATTTTGGTTGTATTAATTAATTTGTCCCTTTCCTGCGTACTCGGGGTATAATATATATGACAATCACATGGGAAATTAAGATTCGTCGAGCGCCCAGCAGGCCCACCATTAATAATCGGCCAAAGCTTCTTTTTCTTCTTCTTCTTCTTTGTGCGTGCGATTAATTGAAGGTGAGTTGAGTTGGCATGTGATGGGGTACTGAATGTGTTGCAAATGTGACCAACAACTGGAATATAATTAGGCTTGAAAAGGTTGTCTGGTCCTGTTTAATTTGGTCCACCTATCCAAAAGAAGAAGAGGGAGAAGATAAAATGACCGCCGTAAAATGTCTATTCCTTGAAACATGTTCTTAATTATTAGGCCCAGAAAGGTAAATCTGTATGTTTGTTGGAGTTAATGGAAAGGGACAAAGATTTGTCTCTGTCCCTAGCTAGCTAGCTAGCTTCGTTTGCGGTGACCCAACTAATTAATAACCGGTCTTGTTGTCAAAAGATAATTTCTTTGTTGCCAGTATCATCATTTTTCTCCACTCAATCTCAAGCCCGGCTAATTAGTTGTATGATACACCGTCGTTACATTAAGCTTCCAGCATCCTTCATAAATCATAGGAATCGTGTGTCGCCAGAAATCAGAATGAGGAGTTAAAATTTTACTCTCGGAGAATTTGAAACTTTGAACGAGAGCTGTAATGTCATAAACCAGTTGATCACAATAACTCGAGTTATTGGCAGAAGGTTATACTGGATCTTATACATGTCCATGTATTGTACTTAATCACTTCCTTACACGTCCCCGTCAAACGAAAGCCGACTCGTGGACTTGAAATTTGCACAGGACCGCCATACCATACTGATATATTAAAACTTGACAATTTTGAGAGGACAGTTTTCCACAGATGATAGGCAATCCTAATTAAGCAATGGCGGAGGTAGCTAGCCCTTGAGGAGTGGTGTCCCACTTAGCCAAATAATGGGTACCAAAATCCTTAAATATATGAGTTTTAGCATGATTATCGAAATATAAGACTCCATACTTTCGTCGATCAACTCAAATTTTTAAAGACCCAATTCCATTCAAAGTTTGGCTACGCCACTTAACCTAAGTACCTAACTGGTAGTTTGCCTAGAGGAAACCCTGTATATTGAGAGATACTCTGTTGTCTTCCACTAAAATCCCAACACAGAACAACTAACATTTTGACAAATTACAACTCAAGCCAGGCACACTGTAAAACCTCTCCAACAATCTCTTGATACAGTCATTACTGACGCATGGAAAAAGACAAGGAGGTCATATGTAAAACACAAATGTGTGAGAAAATCAAACGAACAAATTTGCATGGTCATTAATTTGTAGAGCACCAATTCAATGCCAACAAGATCTTTTTTAAACTTCAACCATATATATCCAAGCTAATATCTATAAGCAAGCAAAATGAAAAGAAAAATCAACATGGCGACGATGGGATGTTTATACTAAAGTAGAAAATTGAAAACCCTTTTCCCTTCTTAAGGAGATGAATCTTTGTTGAAATTTCTAACAGGCTTTAGTGGGGAAAAGCCATTGAAAAATCAATCGAAGAAAAGGGATATGAAAGCCGAAATACGCATCAAAGTCTACCGAGCATACATGTCGGGGAACAGGAGATAGAGAGATACAATGTAATGTATTCCCCAAAATTTCTTTGCATACATATCCACTAGCTATATTACTCACTCATCGTGATGAAGATGGCGGTGGGTATGGTCTTTGTTTGTCAATGGGATTACCTTTGAGATCGAGCTTTAATTTTTCAGTCCAAAGTCGATGTACGTTTTGGTGCTCTTTTATTTTTTCGCCCACCGTCGACTGCAAAGACAATTCCAGAGATCCTAGCAAGATATAAAAAACGCACAGAGATGGAAAAAAAAAAAGGTGAAAGTTATGTAAAGCAAAACTTCTAATAGTCGTTTTGAGAGATATAGAGGGGGAAAAAAGTGAAACCGCACACATGCATATATGGGTTTTGTGCTCTTAAAGTGCTGTGATTCATATTTATATTCAGGACTGATCAAGAGTCATTGGTAGTTGGTACAAGAGTGAGAATTCGGCAGTTACGTTGTTTTTCCATGTTGAATGGGTAGACAGAACTAGTGATGGCAGTGCGGCGGATGGGGTGGTACCTCAATACTTATCTTCTTTCCGCACTAAGCAACCGTTAGGTCGGGTAATACTCGTACTAGTACGGGTTAGATCGACCTATTTTTTGTGTTATTTAAAAAAAGAATGTCGATATTTAATTCTTTTACGAGAATACATAGAAAAAACACTTTGTAAATGAATGATAAGTATAGTAGAAGGAATATTTTATTATAAATAGTTGAAAGATAGAGTTTTGATAGTTTTTGCTTTAGTTCACTTGCATATTGTCATACGAGTCCAGTCTTTAATAAATAAAAGTTGAGAATCATAAGATAGTAGAGGAGATCATCAAAGAAGGATGAGCATCTAGTTTCACTTTTTTTATTTTGGAGGAAGGAGCCTATAGCTCATAAGGGGAGGAGATTTTAAGCCCCATCCATCAAGAGTACTTGACTAGAGAAGGACGGAAAACATGGACGACTGCAGCTTCGAATCAAGATAAGAAACCTCTCCCACAACCTCTTCTACATCATCTAAGATGGCAGAAGAACAAAGAGTAGCTATCCCACCAAATCTATATTAGTATTTGAGAACCAAAGCCTCGAATATCACATCCAACATTGTTGCGCCACCGACAAACATCGAATTTCAAATTCATCTTATCCAAATGGTGCAACAATCAAGGAGATATGTTGGTAGGAATGATGTTGATTCTGTGGAACATCTGAATATGGTTTTGGAGAATTTAAGTTCCATTAAAGGAGATAATGCAACGAGAGATGCAATCCCGCTGGGACTTTTTCCTATTTCACTTGTAGGAAGGACGAAGCAGTGGTTAGTTACCATCAATTGAGCATATTCGCAACATGGAAGAACCTAACATAAGCCTTCATTAAAGAATTCTATCCACCATGGAAGACAGAGGAGCTAAAAGATGAAATTCCACAATTCCAATATAAGGAAGGAGAGACATTATATGAATTTTGGAGGAGATTCCAAGAGCATCTCGAGGGATGCCCCCATCACATATTTAACTAGAAAAAGTTTTGCTAAGTATTTTTGCCAAAGGATTGGATTGAGATATCACAATCATGGTAAATCAATCTTTCGATGGTGATTTCACTATAATGACGGGAGCTCAATACCAAGAGCATTTCGCCATACTAGCAAGGAATTCAAATAACTGGTCTAGGCGACAAACAATGAAACCATTGAAAGTTGTTCAAGAAAGGAAGGAAGTTGCTACCATCTTGTGTGAGCAGATGAAGGAACTTTCTCGACAACTAAAAAAACTTCAATAGAACGAAAGAATGAACTAGTTGAAACCTTGTTTGTGTGTAAAGCTTATGGAGAGAAAGGCCATGAAGGAATCGAATGTTGGAGCCATGGAAAGTAAGGACATGCTGATGTCAGTTATATTAACCATGGGTATCAAGTATCAACCAACGCAACAACAAGGAAGCTATGCTCTTTACTAGAGATTCAATCAACATAGCATACCTTATGGTCAATGGCCAGTCCCAAAAGGAAGAAGCCTGAAGATTACCCCAATATCACATCTGTCAATGCACCTTATATTCTTGAAGGACAATGGAACAAGAAGCCACATCCACCTAGATTTGAAAATAAAACTAAATATAAGGAGCAACGAGGAAGTTCTTCCAATCACCAATCTACCAGATTCAAGAAACTTGAAGCAACTGTCATTGGTATGCAAGCAAGCTACCAGAATATCAAATGACAACTTAAACTCTTAATTGATGTTAAACCTCAAAAGCCTCAAGAAAATCTTCCCAATAATATAAAGAATAATCCTAAGAAGGAGTAAGTCAAGACTATCTTGATGATAGTAAGAACATTTCAAAATTGCTTGGGTAAAAAAAGGATGAGGAGACAGCTCCATAGAGGATGGCGGATTTGAAGGAAGATAATCCTCACCCCTTGCATATCCATGACTTGGTGAGAGCATTGGGAGAAGAAGTTGCAACATTACCTCAATTGAGAAGCATTACAAAAATAGAGAAACCTAAAAAGAACTCTAGAGGTTTCTAGAAGAAGAAGACACAACGACCATCAAATCCACTCCTAAGGAGCTTGAGGACATCGTGTATGTGGGAGAACAAAAGTAGTATCCAGAGCATTGTTATGGGAAACATAGGCTATCTTGAGTTTCATGAGAACAAAAGTAGTATCCAGGGCATTGTTATGGGAAAGCGTATGATGTGTTGATAATTCTCTCTAGCATTGTTATGGGAAGCATTGTTTCCCATAACAATGCTAGAGAGAATCGAGGAACTAGGGTGGGAAACATCATGAGATTATCAAGACATCATACGCTTTCTTTGTCAAAACGATTTAATCCACGTCTTATTGAACCAACAAGAGGAAATACAAGTGAATGGGGCGATGGACGTTTATCTTCAATGGTCGTCAAATTAAAAGAAGCATGGCTATGCCTAGCTCAAAGGCAAAAAAGAAAGAGCGCTCCTGAGAGGTAACTCATGTTTGGCGTCAAACTTAATGATGTTAAACAAAAGCGCAACCGAGGAGACAGTCTAGATTTCCCGTTCCTTAGTTTTGTTTTTCATTTGTTAGCTTATAATTTTGACTTAATCATTGGAGGAATCTATTGTATCCCTTTGGATAGGTGTTAAATTTGGAGAAAGTTTTTGAAAATGATGACGAGATGGAGAGTTTTGATGGAGAAGGAATGTAAAAAATCCTTTTTGTATAAATCGGGTAAGTGTATTGATGTGCCAAATGCAAGAAACCGACAAAAATCGGGTCTGATAATCACGACGGTCTAGTTGTAGTCATACCCACCACACCCCTTCACCATATAAAACTCAACTTTCACACCTCACTTCACACCGCACTTCATTTTTCACACTCTCTCTCTCTCTCTCTCTCTCTCTCTCTCTCTCTCCAAAGTCGAGATCTCTCCTCTC